CATCACATCCTATGTATTGAGAGCTTCGCGGGTGGGGACTGAAGGCACACTCGGATGGGCACAACTCAACCCATTATACACCAGCCCTGCACCACATCCACACTACCACCTCACCCACCCTTTCCCCTCTCGCATACACGCACTCACACTGCCCTCCCATCTCTCCCCCGACCGCATCCCTGGCCATCCTTTGCAACACTAATGATGCCTATGCTGTACATCACATGTATATTCAGCATCCCTTTACTCCCAGCCAACACTTCTATCGTTCAGCCAATTATGCCCTCAAACATAGACTGCGCTCAATATATTGCCGTATATTACATCATAGGTAGCATATATTCACATATACTGTACATTATGTACGATATACTGTGTACTCTGTTCGGTAGGTCTGTCCTACCGGTGCCCTAATACTCGGTTTTTAGCCTAAATTGTTAGCCAAAAGTTAGGATATAATGTGTTTTTGGTATGGATTGTATGTATGGGTGAGTATAGGATGGGAAAGAGTTATGGTATGAGATGTGATGGAAATGGCAAAAGTCAGTGAACGTTAAGCGCAGTCATAAATAGAGACCATTAATAAGGGAGTGGACGGCAAGTGGTTGTGACGGCTCTGCGTTTGCAAGTGTGTGAGTGTCGGCGCAAAACCCCCGGCGCTCGCAGTGGCGGAACCGCACTCTACCAGACACTCACTGCTACACCAGACAGACAGACACTGCTAGTGCTCGCAGACACTGTTACGCAAGCATTACGGCCAACACCTCTATAGCGTAGGCATATCGCAGACTGTGTGGCGAACACCTCTACCCAAACACTGTCAGACAATTGAACACATGGTTTGAGCAAAAAAACCAAACAATCGTTTTGTTTGCTATTAATTGTCTGTTAAGTGAATCCATTGATTGTCTTCTAATCTGATCCGTNAGAGAGAGAGAGAAGGAGATAGAGATAGTTATATAAAGGATATTATATATTCAAGACATCCATTGGGTTCAAAAGGGAAGGTTAGTGTAATATCAATGACTCCTTAGAGTCAGAATAAGATTAAATCAATAATAAATTAAAATTAAGTCGAAATGTAATTCTCAGGTGTTTTTGCGTTCAGCATATGATAAGAGAGAGAGAAAAAGAGTTAATGTTTCATACATTAGGTTTCACCTTAAAAACTTCATACCCCCGTCCCGTCCGCACCGGGCATTCAGTCTCTGGCGATATATAGAGAGCGTATAGAGACTGAGGGGTTGAGGGGTTGTAAGGTTTGGCAACTAATGTACGGCTTTTGTTGAATAATTCTAAATAATTTTCTAAAACTAATTCTTCTCGTCTGCAGTTTTGGGCACAAATGATTCAATACTTCAATATATTACACACACTGTATGTGTCTATATATTCAGTACTAGTGCTGTAATATCCACACAACTTCCCACTCTCTGCACCACAATTAGCCCTCGAATTCAACCATTCGTTTGAGGATTCACTGAACTACACATTTGAAGGCAGCAACTCGTGGCTCTAAATTCATCTCTCTCTCTCTCTCTCTCTCTCTCTCTCTCTCTCTCTCTCTCTCTCGCTCGCTCTCTCTCCCTCCCTCTCATTGGCAGCAATGGATGATAGTGTCAATGAGATGATGATAGCGCAGATACTTCAGACTTGTTTATCAAAAAACTCACTATTGATTAATAATTTATTTTTGAACCCAAAAGATTAGACAAAGAATTTGTTAATATTTGAGTCCACAACAGTTGTGCCACAACTACTGTATCTTCAATGCAAATAATATAACTGTTAACTAAAAAATAAATAATTACATTTCAAACAAATTACATATATTTTTATCAATTCAAGAGTTCTTGTTTTTAAATAGTAAAAACTCAGTGACAGAAACATTTCTATACAGAGATGTGAAGTCTCTCTCTCTCTCTCTCTCTCTCTCTTTGGATCGCAAAACCCGTTCAAACCTATGAAGAAGTGAACGTTTCAGGCCTTATGGGGACTGTTGTTGGTGTCGATGCTGTCCTACAGTTCCACATAAGCTATTCTTTTTGATTAATTATTGATAAACTTTTAATGAGTTTTTTGTCTTATTTTTTGAATCGTTTAATTTTCAACAACAAATTCGTCACTCTTTTCTCTCCCCTCTCTTTCTTTCTTCAAAAAGCATTTATTTTTCGATTAAAAAATAATATTTACATAAAAATAAGAAAATGAAAATCAATTTAATGTACAGTTGTTTTCTGGTAGTGAAAAATTGGTTGTGAAAAATAATTATAATCAAAACGTGTTGTCAATCGGTATATGAATGTTAGCGACAGGTATTCACTGTTAGACACTATTTTTTTAAAACATTAATTATAAATACAAATTAATAATCACTTAAACAGCTCTTCAACTGTAAGCCCCTATTATATGATAGGATATGAAAAAAGTAATCATTAGATTATAGACAACGAATGGAAAGTTAATTAATTCAAAAAATTCAAACAATTTAAGGCTTGAGTACAGCATTGGCCGCACAAACCAGTTGTTCAATACGTTTTGTTTTGTTTGCTATCCATTTATCTTTTACACTAAATTACTATAAATTATATAAAACTTTTATTTTTCGCATCTCTCGTACGCCAAGACCTGAACCATGAGATGAATAATGCAATGCGAGGAGAGAGAGAGGAAGGGATACGCGGATCAGTCGTTGCCTTCTTGTCGCTCCCGAACCGCTTCCTAATAACACCAACAAAACCAGAGATAACAACAAAAACATCACAATTATTACACCAATCGATAGGCAAAATAGCGGCAAATCTATTCATTCATGTATTTATTTACCCGAAAGCGCTCCTCAAGAAGTGACAGTTCACTGATCAGATCAGTGATGGCGTTCATTAGGGCCTCTTGTGGTGAGTAGTCGGCAGTTGTCTGAACGCGAAGCACAAACTCGTGGGTCAACGGATGCGGCACTTTATAGCCGGCGAACAACACCTGCGGGTCTTTCAACAGTTGCCTAAGACATGAGTGGACACAAAGCAATGGCATTAGTCTATGGGAGGGAAAGAGAGACCAATCGGTGGCCAAATGTGTTGTTGGCATACATTCTGATCATATTTCCGAGAGTGTGGTCCTCTTTGTTGACCGTAAATATGGCCGCATTCGGCACTTTTGTGTCCTTTTCTATCGTTATCCTCAAGAGTGGATCCAATCAATCAATGGTTAGATCACAATATGGGGCGAAGGCGTGCGGACACACCAACGGATCCAATACTTACTTCTTTTCGCCCTCGAAGAGCAGGAATGACTCGAAAGCCGGCGGAGCGTTCATTATAGACGACTACGGCAGACACTATACCACGGATCAGGTTATAAGACAATCGATGGATTCACTTAACGGACAATTAATAACAAATAAAACGATTGTTTGGTTTTTTTTGCTCAAACCATGTGTTCAATTGTGTGACAGTATTTGTGTAGAGGTGTTCGCCACACAGTCTGCGATATGCCTACGCTATAGAGGTGTTGGCCGAATGCTTGCGTAACAGTGTCTGCGAGCACTAGCAGTGTCTGCAATAGCAGTGTCTGTCTGAGTGTCTGGTAGAGTGCGGTTCCGCCACTGCGAGCGCCGGGGGTTTTGCGCCGACACTCACACACTTGCAAACGCAGAGCCGTCACAACCACTTGCCGTCCACTCCCTTATTAATGGTCTCTATTTGTGTTGTTGGCATACATTCTGATCATATTTCCGAGAGTGTGGTCCTCTTTGTTGACCGTAAATATGGCCGCATTCGGCACTTTTGTGTCCTTTTCTATCGTTATCCTCAAGAGTGGATCCAATCAATGGTTAGTTCACAATATGGGGCGAAGGCGTGCGGACACACCAATGGATCCAATACTTACTTCTTTTCGCCCTCGAAGAGCAGGAATGACTCGAAAGCCGGCGGAGCGTTCATTATAGACAACTACGGCAGACACTACACCACGGATCAGATTAGAAGACAATCAATGGATTCACTTAACAGACAATTAATAGCAAACAAAACGATTGTTTGGTTTTTTTGCTCAAACCATGTGTTCAATTGTCTGACAGTGTTTGGGTAGAGGTGTTCGCCACACAGTCTGCGATATGCCTACGCTATAGAGGTGTTGGCCGTAATGCTTGCGTAACAGTGTCTGCGAGCACTAGCAGTGTCTGTCTGTCTGGTGTAGCAGTGAGTGTCTGGTAGAGTGCGGTTCCGCCACTGCGAGCGCCGGGGGTTTTGCGCCGACACTCACACACTTGCAAACGCAGAGCCGTCACAACCACTTGCCGTCCACTCCCTTATTAATGGTCTCTATTTATGACTGCGCTTAACGTTCACTGACTTTTGCCATTTCCATCACATCTCATACCATAACTCTTTCCCATCCTATACTCACCCATACATACAATCCATACCAAAAACACATTATATCCTAACTTTTGGCTAACAATTTAGGCTAAAAACCGAATTTTAGGGCACCGGGAGGACAGACCTACCGAACAGACCTACACAGTACACAGTATATTGTACATAATGTACAGTATATGTGAATATATGCTACCTATGATGTAATATACGGCAATATATTGAGCGCAGTCTATGTTTGAGGGCATAATTGGATGAACGATAGAAGTGTTGGCTGGGAGTAAAGGGATGCTGAATATACATGTGATGCATGTGAGCATAGGCATCATTAGTGTTGCAAAGGATGGCCAGGGATGAGATCGGGGGAGAGATGGGAGGGCAGTGTGAGTGTGTGAGTGCGTGGAAGGGGGAAAGGGTGGGTGAGGTGGTAGTGTGGATGTGGTGCAGGGCTGGTGTATAATGGGTTGAGTTGTGCCCATCCGAGTGTGCCTTCAGTCCCCACCCGCGAAGCTCTCAATACATAGGATGTGATGACTCGAGTCTCTGTGCTGTCTGGCAATGGATTGAATGGATTGAGTGGTGGACTCGCTGTTAGGGTTAGACTCGACTGTGAACTGAGCCCTAGAGTTGTGTGCACTCAGACAGACTCAGACTCAGACATACGGTTGTGTATGTATTACACATTGAGAGTGAGTGCCGGTGTATTATATGCGGTGCTCTCACTATTGCATAACCAGTGGTAGTGTTTGTTTGAATATATATATCTTTTTTAACTCTTTGGGTTTCCATTGGTTATCTCCGTCTGTGGCGTTGGCTGTGCTCTCCCTCTCACAGTCTCCCTGTGCTCTCTCAGTCTGTGCAACAGTGCTATACATACACACACTGTGTACAGACTTCTAATACTGGCTGTACTCATATCATATACTACTACTACTGGCCAAACACTGGTGTAACACAAACAGTGCAACATTACATACATTACATCGATATATACGATATACAGTATTTCAGTATTTGGTAGACAAGTGGCGCACAGAAAGCTTGCAAAGCTTGGAAAGCCATAGCCATTGCACACAACATCTACATAAGTTTGTCCTTGTTTTTTATGGTGAGTTACATAGGAGAGAGATCTGTGCCGCCAACCAGCGATGGCTGTGCCTCACACTCACACTCCAGCCTCAGACACCAGACCCATCGCCCATCACCACCAACTCCTCCATCAGTAACACTCAGATCACATCCAGACCACAGCCACACCGTGTGGACCACCACTATGTCCATCAGTAAAGGTAACCAACCATTGATTCTATCCATATATCCATTAGATAGCGAGTGAATGCATGTATTGTTGTGTTGATACCGGCGGCTGGCAGTCAGTCACTGCTCATCCCTTACAGCCTTACATATAGTGAATGTATAATACATACAGCGATAGAGTCAGTGATGAGCACTAAAGCTATGCCTAAGCTATTAGTGGAGAATGTGATCATTCCTTACACTTAATGTTCATTTCGTGCACTACTTTTCGCACAACATATTCACATCTCATCTCCCATTGCCTTAACGTTATTAGCATTTATTGTAATCAACTATTATGTGAATACACTCTTACATCCCTTTTCTCCAACAATATATTTAAATTACTTTTTATTTCATATATTATTTAAAAAGTAATTCTCATTTTACGGCTTTAAAATCATTGGTGAATCAAATGATGATAAGAGATGGAGAGAGAGAGAGAGAGAGAGAGAGATTCTGTCTGGAAAGAACTGACACTTTGTTCACTGCTTTAGACAAGTGTGCTGTACACTATATAATGATGAATTGGTTGGCTGGAGTACAGTAGGCACGGAATGGTATGTTAGAAATGGTATGGGTTATGGTATGGGGAGTAGGGCTGAGCTGGTGGTGGAAAGGGTAGAAACTACTACTACTAACTTAATTTAGTGTCTGACTGACAATCAACACAATCAACAATAAAATGAAAGTATGAGATGAAAGAGAGTTAGAGTTAGAGAGGGAGAGAGATATATAGAGAGAAAAATAAAAAATTTTATATATATTTTCAGTGAATGAAAAACAAAAACCGAAAGCAAAATGTGATCAAAGAATGAGTGAGAGTTTTAGGAGGAAGTGAAACGAGAGGTAAATATAAATAACAAATAAAATTTGAGTGAAAAATAGCAAAAATTTACATCTTTAGGGAAATACACGCTATAATTACACGAGAATTAAAAGGTTGTCTTTATGGACCTCTCTCTCTCTCTCTCTCTCTCTCTCTCTCTCGTGGCAAACGATGCCTTCAAATGAGACTAATTTTAAATTAGAAAATTTCACAAAAAACGAATTCAATATAAAGTTTAAATTGTATTCACATTACCGCAGTATTACTACTGTAAGTATATGTGATATAATACTGTGTAATACATAAAATATATTATATAAAAAAGTTAAATTAGATTTTAAAATGTTTTATATGGCCTTTTGAATCGAGACACGAATTGTATTAAATAAAAAAGCGAGAATACAATATATATTTTATATTAAATAAATAGTAAGAATTTTATAAAACATGCAAGTTATATAAAGTATAAGTTATATAAAGTATAAGTTATATAAAGTATACGGTGTTGTCGTTTTGTTTGACTGCGAGAATATACTTGTGTGACATTATGTTATTTTTGCAATTCAAACAATCATTATTTTCTTTTGTGTTTAATTATAATATTTCTCTCCTTTATTTGTCTAATTTATTGCCTAATAGTGTTGTTTCTTAATCTAGAAAATCAGCTCTCATTGTGTGCAGTGTTTGTGCGCTCTTAGAGTTGAATGAATAGGACTTTCGGCACAAAAATATCTAACAAAAAATAAAAAAAGAAAGTCTGAAATCTCTGCGAAGATCAGTGGCTAAGACAGTGCCAGAAGGGAGGGAGAGAAGGGAGGGGGAGAGAGAGAGAGAGAGAGAGAGGGAGAGAGAGAGAGAGAGATAAAAGAGTTGAGTTGGAGTTAAAGGGGTTGTTTGTGTGTTTGAACAAAAATGGCAGTTAACTTAACTCTATGTTAATAAAAAACTAGAGCCAAATAAAAGCAATTAAACAGGTTTTTTGTCTCTAAACACGATTCTTGTGCCCAACATTTGCTAGCATTTTAACTGATGAACAGCTGCTGTCACACAACCCAAACACTCCATAACCCTATACTATATTATGGCTGTAGACACCTATTATGCACTCATGTCTATGCCTTACCATACCATACATATAACCATACCTTACGAAATAAGCTGTTAATATTGTAGACACAAGTCCATTATCATTATTGCGTAGAGAGAGAGAGAGAGAGAGAGAGAGAATGTAGACAACAAAGGATTGATATATTTATCAGATTAGACGTAAAGGCTTTTCATAATGAAAAACATGAAATCCATTTCATAATAAAAAGTTGTCTCAAATAATAATAAAAAGGCAAAAATATACCCAATTTTTCAAAACTCGACATCAATTTTGAAAATTAGTTTTGACGATAAATTTTCATTCAGATATTGAGTCTGATATGAGAATATATATAACATATTGTCTGTGTATTGAAGACTGCTTTTTGTAAATTTGCATTAAATTTCACTTAAAATGTAAGTACTGTGTGCTGTGTATAGACCCAAACATTAAGCCTGGTATCAGATATAATACCACTATTTTATAAAACACTATGTACTCACTCTTTGTATTAAATTGAAGTAAATTATAATATAGTTTATAGAGTATATACTGTGTATATATAGAGTACATAATACAGAGAATGTAGTATAGGATATAAACATTAATATAATACAAAATAACAACAAAAATATAAATTTTTTATCTCCAACTAAAAGATAACTCGTTGGAAGACTGATTAGGGGCTCATATATTCATTCAAAGTTTATAATAATTTTTTGCATTAGAAAAAAGGCACACATCGAGTGATAAAATATAAATCAAATAAATGTTTTCAGAGCCAATTTGCATGTGAATGTAAAAATGTAGAAATTTAATTAATGATTAAAATCAGTCCACAATTTGTTTAATTACTGGCAAAACAAACTACAGTACAGTGTATGCCTTTAATAGGGATTCAGACAATTATAATACTGTATAACATATTATGTATTATATTTACTATACATTTATACAGTATACTTATACTTTATACTGTATCATAAGTTATGCTCTTAATCTCGATTCGAGAATTAAATTTATTAATTAATTATAAATTTAAGTATCGCTTGAAAATCGGTTCAATGTATTCGCAGAAATAATTTAATCATTATTTCAATGATATTTTTGATACTTGTTTACGAAAGTTGTGTTTGAAATACTAGTCAAATAAATAGCAAATTATTGCCAATTATAATATTATATAAATAATCTTTGAATAAGTTATTAAACTATCTGTTAATGAGAAGTTTGTTTCAATGTTTATCTATCTTGTGATGTACTGTAATATAAAGTAAAATCATAATAAATAAACACCAAGTTCTGTATATATTTAATTCATATAATTGCTTAAAATTCATTAAATTTGTGTATATTTTACAAAATACGAGAATAAATCGTTTGTTTCAATTGTTTGTGAATATATTCCCAAAAGAAAATTTCACAATAATATTAAATTATAAATTAACTTATAATTGAAATGAAAAAACAAATAAAAATTGGGCAAAATATTTAGGAAAATGAGTTACAACTCGTATGTACTGTATATAAGAGTTGGTTAACTCATTGGATAACGATATACAGCGCACAGTCGTCCTCGACATACATGCAAACCGGCCTCTCATATAAGCCATAAAATTACAAGAATTTGGTCTTAAAATAGCGATTAATAAACTAATTGTGGCGAAACACCAGTGATTATTGCAACAAATATTTCTTGTTATAACAAATATGTAAACAATATTTTTATTACTTTATACCAGAATATATGGGAATGAATACCAGATTAAGAGAAAGACCAGAATCTAAATCACGTATTGATTTATATTTTTGTTGCGATAAAAAAATACCATTTGTGTGACACAAAGAAGCGAATGGAAAAATATGACAACCAATTAGTTGTCGGATAATTAAAATTAGTTAATTTTTAATGTCTTATATGTAAAAAAAATAAAAATTATACGTAATATTAGAGACAAATTTACCACAAAAAACTAAAATGTCTATTAAAATGAATTAATGTGTTAATTATTGAATCGATATAATAATAATAAAAAAGTAGTGTTAATGTAATAAATAATTGATGAAAAAAAGCGAGAGAGTGTTTGGGATATATATTTATACATATATACAAGTGAATGGGATTTTTGTTGTTTTTGGTGTTTCGAGCGAATCGTTTGGATCGAAAAATATCATAGAAAACAAGAAGAAGAGGAGAAACGTAAACATAAAATAAATAAAAGGCAAAAGTAAAATAAAATCAAAAAATCAAAACCACTAATTTGAACCAACAGTCTGTCATTTATATGCCATTTAGTGAATCAATATTAATAATAACCATTTTTTCTCTCTCTTCTACCACTCATTCACTCTCTCTTTTCTTTTCTTGTTTGCAATTTGTATATAAAATACATATTAAACTCTCTATTCTTTCTATAAATTGCACAATAATTCTCTCTCTCTCTCTCTCTCTCTCTCT